ATTACGTCCATACGGATGTTAGTAGCATTAGCTGCAGTGTATGGTCTTGAAATTGATCAAATGGACGTTAAGACGGCCTTCTTAAATGGAGATTTGGAGGAAGAAATCTACATGGAACAACCTGAAGGGTTTGTGGTTCCAGGTAAAGAAAAGAAGGTCTGTAGACTTGTTAAGTCCCTTTACGGACTAAAACAAGCACCCAAACAATGGCATGCAAAATTTGACCAAACAATGTTGTCAAATGGGTTTAAGATAAATGAATGTGATAAATGTGTGTACATTAAAAATGTTCCAAATCACATAGTCATTGTTTGCTTATATGTGGATGATATGCTGATAATGAGTAATGATATTTCCAACATAAATGCTACTAAGCGTATGCTAACTAGCAAGTTTGATATGAAAGACTTGGGAGTTGCTGATTTAATTTTGGGGATTAAGAACCATAAGACTCCTCAAGGTCAGGCATTGTCACAATCTCATTATATTAAGATAGTACTTGAAAAGTTCAAGCACTTAGGGTTTAAAGTTGCAAAGACTCCAATTGATGTGAATCTTGCATTAGCAAAGAACAAAGGCCAAAGCATATCACAATTGGATTATGCTCGAGTGTTGGAATGCTTAATGTACATCATGAATTGTACACGACCAGATATAGCTTGTGCTATAAGTAAATTGAGTCGATACACGAGCAATCCAGGTCAATCTCATTGGATGGCAATGAAACGAGTTTTGGGATATTTAGAACATACCCAAGACTTTGCTTTGCACTACAATAAATATCATGCGGTCATTGAGGGATACTGTGATGCAAATTGGATCACCGATTCAACTGATTCTAAGTCCATAAGTGGATATATATTCACTATTGGTGGAGGAGCGGTATCTTGAAAGTCATCCAAACAAACTTGTATTGCCCGCTCTACAATGGAGGCTGAATTCATAGCCTTAGATAAAGCCGGTGAAGAAGCTGAATGGCTCCGAAATTTCTTGGAAGACATTCCATTTTGGCCCAAATCGTTGGCACCAATGTGCATACATTGCGATAGTGAAGCGGCAATTGGAAGGGCTGGGAGCGTTATGTATAACGGTAAATCTCGTCACATACGACGAAGACATAAAACCGTTAGGCAATTACTCTCTAGAGGAATTATCATGATTGACTATGTAAAGTCAAGTGATAATGTGTCGGATCCACTTACAAAAGTCATAACTAGAGAGGTAGTAGAGAAACCATCAAGGGGAATGGGACTGTGGCCGAGAACAAGTCATAGTGGCGGTAACTCTACCTAGAAGACTGGAGACCCCAAGATCTATGTTCAAGGAGATCAAACAAAGTCATTAATGACGGTTCAACATTGTCAACTAAACTTTTGGTTCATTCTCGTGATGAGACAATGTTCAGTACCAAGGATAAAGCATAAAGGCTTTTTAATGATTTCTAAATTTGATACTGGGTATATCAAATAGTGTATCTACGGGATGACACATTTAGGAATCACCTATGTAAGTGTGAAGTGTTAGCCACTTCAAGGAGAACTTTGTAAGGTCAGTTCTCTATGCACTTATGAAAACAGGCGGTGTTCATGGATGAAACGAACACAATAATGAGAACCAAAGACGGTTAAGGGTTGGTTGTGTGACTTGTGGTTGTCTAGGTATACACCAAAGTTCGACGGTTCAAAGATATCAAATCTACCAATTGATCGAGTATATTCGACATAAGTTCACTACGAAAAGTTCAAAGGGAAACCTACTTATCCAGATGCAATTAATCCTTGCTTGCGAATCACACAGTTTTTCATGCATACTTCCGTGATATAGCCATTCCCCATTCATGTGGGGGATCGTTGGGTTTTTAAGCTATTAATGCTTAAAATGGGGTGAATGAGAAATTGAGGGAAAAATGAAATATTTGAGTAATATTTGAGTTTCCCTCCTTGATTGTCCCATATGGGAAGAGGAAAAGGTTTTTGATGGGTATATAAGCAATTGCTCTTCTTCTAGCTCATAAAGAGTTGAGAAGAAGGCAAGCCTCGCGCCGTCGCCGTCGCCGTCGTCGTCGCTCGCTCGCTCGGCTCGGCTTCAGCTTCGGCTTCGGCTTCGGCTTCGGATTAGTAAATATTAACATAAATGTTATTAAATATTTGGTTTAATAACAAAATATTAATATTAAAATAAATATTAATATTAAATCCAATTCAGTTATCCAATTTTCAGTTTTCTGTTTTTGTAACAGAAATTAACTACCCTTCAATTTTCCCTCTTTATTGTTGAGTAAATAGCCATTTATGTTATGGCATTTATGCTATGGCCGTTTTGCATAAACAGCCATTCTGAAGAGTTGCACCCCTTCAGATTTCAGCCTAACTTTGGCTATAAATACAAGTCTATTCTGCTCAGAATTTTCATACGATTTTTCTGAGTTTCTCCTCCTTCTTCTGCATACTTTTAACATCAAACAAAGCAACAGTAAGTGTGATTTGCTACCGAACTTTGTGTTCGCTGAAACACTGGGGTTTGAAGTACCACTACACCAGTATGTAATTCGTTCTATCATGGGAGGAAATAATCCACAACCTTGGGTACTAGGAGGAGATTAAATTCCTTAAGGAAACACTGTGAATTCAGTGGGCTCGGATTAAAATTCTGTTTCTATTTTTCTTTTCTGTTTATGTTAATTTATATTTTCTACAATTATTTTAGAAATATAGTTTGCTAACAACAGGTTGGATAGCTCTTGGAGAGAGAATTCATTGTGATACCATTGGATGAAGTTACACCAACCATTATTCTACAACAACAAAAACAATTTTGAGAAATCTGTCCAAGGAAAAAAAGGTTATAAAGTTCAAGAAATAGCATGAACATTATTCTTAGTCTTCCTAATTAAATAGGGATGTTGCTGACGGTTCGGTTCAGTATTTATAATTATCAGTATGGTTTATTGGTTATCGGTTTTAGCTGATCAGTTATCGCTTTAATTAACTAATCCTTAACGAATTGAAATATCTGATTTAGGCAATAAAGGATGGGCTATAAAAATTCTGACTATTGGAAGTGGGCGTCTGGCTTAGAGTTTTTAGTTGCATATCTAGTGCCCTTAATTGTTATTTCCAAAAATTTAAAAAAAAAAAAAAACTGAAACTCGACATATACTGTTAAAATTGTGCCAAGGATTGCCATTGACGTGCTACAAAGCTTAGCGAATAAGACTTAGAGAGGAGGAGAAAAGAAAGTGTAGAGGGAAAAATATTCGGCAAACGGCCAAATATACTTATGTAAGAAAAGGTTTAAATATACTTTTTGTTATATTTTGGATCCAAATATATCCCTGCCGTAATACTATTGGTTCAAATATGTCCCTCTTTTGTTAAGTATATCCGAGGTGGACATCCAATCCTACGTGGCACTGATACTTGGTGAGGTGGATGCCACATGGCATGCCACCTCCGCTCCCCTAATCTATATATAAAAGACTAAAATTGAAATACAATATTTTTCATGGTAGTGGTAATAGTGGCTATAGTGGTGGAGGGGAAGGAAATTTAGTAGTGGAAAAAAAATAAAAGGGAGGGGCAAAATGGGTTAGGGGAACTGAGGTGGCAGGCCATGTGGCATCCACCTCATCAAATATCAGTGTTACGCAGGATTGGATATTCACTTCGGACAAACTTAACGGAAAAGGGGTATATTTGAACTAATAGTATAACGGCAAAGGTATATTTGGACTCAAAAGTATAACGAGGCTACATTTAAACCTTTTCTGATTCACAGAAATGAGCTGTACATGTCTATTTATATATATACTTCTAACTAACCGACTTCACTAACGGCTAATTACTGTAGTATTAGTAACTAACTACTTATCTGAACTAACTGCTCTTCTTATACTGTACAACTTAAATAATACATTGTACAACTACTTTAAGACGACGACAACAACAACAACCCAGTGTAATCTTACAAGTGGGTTTGGGGAGGGTAGTTTGTATGTAAACCTTACCGGGAGTAGAAAGGCTGTTTCTGATAGACCCTCGGTTCACGACGATGGAAAGAGACAAGTACAACTACTCTAAGTTGCTTAAGATTTCAACACTCCCCTCAAATTGAGAACGAAAAATATTTTTCATTCTCAACTTGGAATTTGTATTAATGTGTTATTTTCGTAAATTCATATCAGTAGGTTTCTTTTGCCTTATGTTGATCCTTTCGCTTCGATTATTCTACCACTCTGTCTCCCTATCACCTTATCTTGTTGATGTTACTACGTGTTGTGTCTGCTTCTTTTACTTTTATCTTGAGCCGGGGTCAATGGGAAGTAAGATTTGCGTATACTCTATCCCCCAAACCCTAGTCCGTGGAATTACACAGGGTTTGTTGTTGTATTCTCAACTTGGAGACTAGTACAACATGTTGTTGACGCTCGAGGCTCTTGTCAAAATATAGGTTGGTTGATCTTGACTGGATATATGTAAAGTCTAGATTAGCCCTTATGAAATGACAATTTATTTTTATATGCAATTTGTAGGGCTGCATTTTTGTCACAATATTACTCTGTATGCAGCTTAAGATTCACCTCCAGCTCCTTTACACCACCTAACCAGGCTAATTCTGCCACGGAATATACTATGCTTCTACATTCAACTTCAGGTGAACTTCTAAAAATTGTATTTTGCTTTCTTTCATATTATCTTGCACTTCTCTTGAATTTTCTCAATCAGAAGAAACCCAAAAAATCAGTTCACAGTGGCAAAATAATGGTTTATACTTGCAAACCGATGCAAGCAGAGGTGTTTGCTGCTAGTGAATGCCTCTTTTTTCTCTTTTATAAATTTCAGGCCTCTTACAATGCATATAAACATTATACACTGGGTATGCAGTGTTAGTTTAGTTTATAACCACTGTATAATATGTGTATAATAAATGTGTCTATATTATACGCTGACTATACACGAGTATATACCATAAATAGGAAGAAATTAGAAAAAGAAGGCAGCTGATAGTGTAAAACTTCCTTAAATTGCAGTAGGCTAAAGCTAACTCTTTGTAAACGAAAGGGAAAGGAAGATACAGAAAAGGAATAAGAGTACCAAGTATAACCTTCATTGAGCAAGTTCGTTGAAACATTAGGAGATCAAGAATAACTCAAGATTTTGCATCTTAATTACAATTTCTGGAAAACCTGTTATTTTCCATTTTCCCCCATAAATAATGGAGTAGTAACATTAATGTTACGAACACATGAAGGAGATCCAACCCTTATCTATCAACCAAGTCTTCTACATTGCAGAGTGATGATGCATCCGACGCCCTTTCCACCCACACAGATAATTCGCTTGTGGACGTGTTCTCTGTGGTTTTTGTCCATTCGTTATTGTAGGTGACGCTTTTGTGTTCGTCTCATATGGAGTAGGTGTAGCTCGACAAACTGATTTCTCAACCAAAGTAGCATTATCATTATTCTCTCCATTTCGCTTGTCAAGCCACGAGATGATATCTGAAAATACGATATCAATGTTGTCTTCAGGCTCACCATATGTCAAACCGTGCCACATTCCTGGATAGAGTTTTATGGTCTTGTCCTTACTACTGGCTTGCTCATACAAAGCTTTACTTACTTCTGGATCAGTTACTATGTCTGCTTCCCCATGTAACACTAAAAATGGTAGAGTGACCTGTCAAAACAAGGGAATGAATTTCAAATTTTCAAATGAACTACACTTATAGTTTTCAATTTTATCAGAATAATTCAAACATATATTGTTAACATGAAGATGGTGAAGACGTGAGGTAATAGTTACCTCGTGCAAACTTTCTTCGAGGTGCATGCTAGTTCTTAGCATTTCCAAAGCTGTCTTTAGTCTTGGCTTTTCCTGATATATTAACTTGTTTCCGCGTACCTACTCTTACAAAATGGCAAGAAACGGACATATATAATTTTTGATCAAGAACAAGAAATGGACATCATATATAATTAATACTTGGAAGCTACCAATAATGTCGCATATAAACTTGACAATAAACCTCACCTCTTCCCTTCTAACAGGGTCCTTGAAGGCTGAATCGATGACATCCTTTGTAGGGACTATCTTCCATCTTGGTATGACATCCTCCACTTTAGTTAGTAAGCTTATAACCACTGGATGTGGCTTTACCTTCTCAGATATCTGGTGAATTTTTACAATGTAAATTAGCAACACCATAACCGGTTCATTTTCCTTTTTGACTTCTAAAAGTCTTAATTGGCATTGGCCCCTACCTTACACATAGGTGCAACCAGAAGAGCACCATGCCAAAAGGAAGGATCCTTCTTGTGTATTAAAAGAGCCACGGCCCCTCCCATCGACTCCCCATACAAAAACCTTGTTTTCTCTCTGTACTCCTCCCGCGCTGATGTCCAAGAGAATAAGTCTTTTAACAAGTGCGGTGAAGCTCTTTAACAATTATTCGACTTAAATAAAGAAAAATGACCGAATAGTCTTGAGTGTTATAAAGAGGATCACTTGGAAGAGCTCCAAAAATTTTACCAAGAAAAAGGAAAAAGGATTAAATGCTAATCTAAAGATGTTCTGTTCCACATTAACATATCAGAGATAGAGATGATTTCTCACTGTGACAGCTTGTGAGGTCATGTATTTGGTATCTTACCGCAAACGGACTTGAAAAAGTCACTGCAGTCATTGACAATGTTGTCAAACCTTTTGATATAACAGCGGGAACCCATTGACCGTCCATGGCCTTCATAGTCTATTCCAAACACCGCGTATCCATGATTCGCGAGCTTTGTCCCAACGCCTAGCCATAATAGTACAATATATATCTATGTTAATTTGGATCTACAACATAAGCTTTCACAGTTCTACTGTGCACAAGAAAAAGAGCCAATATATTGGCTATCGGCATGGTTATAGATAGCAATGGCACCAGACTTTCCTTAGATTACAATTAACAAAAGAATCTCCTCAGAGAATTAGTTGAACCCCTCAAAACCAAACATTAAGCAATGTCAAACACTGTAAACTTACAATAGTATTCAGTTAAGTGTATGTGGTAAACCACAAATTAAATGAGGTAATTCCTATCTCCCACCGACCATTCTTTTTGAAAAACAGAAATAGAAGTGAAAAACAAATGTTTGATGCCACATTGTTTGTCAACAAAAAAAACTTGGTACAGGTCAGACCAGCAGCTCACATGCCCTGGTCCAAGTATTGCAGAATCAGAAGCTTTTCTCACTGCAAGTCAAGTTGAACAGGTCAAGCAAATATATTTTGTTTTTATCATTTACTTATTCTTTTGAACTGTCAAAGTCTTAAGTTAGATGATTTACTGATGATTTCACATGTATTCTAGCATACATCCTACTATTAAAATCTATGTTATGATCTAGAATTTTATTATTATATGTTTGACTATCTGAATTCCAAGTGTCCCACAAGTTTTGGTGCGTGAAGCAATCTCTCTGTTGAGGTCCCAACTTATTTGCTAACCTAATCAACCAATCAAACTACCAAGATATAACTTCTAATTTAATGGATTCTCAATAGTCAACAAGCCTTTATTCATCCTTATTTTAACCAGACAAAACAATTAATTTCCAAGATAGGTGTTAGTTATCCAACTACCAAGAAGGGAAAGGAAACAGACCAATCACTCTGTAGGCAACAATAGAAGGATGTTATTTAAGGGTGAGAATTGCTGAGTTTCAACGAATCTATAGTACCTTAGCTTGAGTCTGAGTGGAATAATAGTGGTAGATGAGTTCTCAGTGTGATATCATCAATTTGAGGCCCATTCTTTATTGCATCTTTAACTACTAGCTCCTTGCATTTGCATTATTTTATTTCATCAATTATTGAGCCGACAGATTATCAGAAACAACATCTCTACCCTACACATGGTAGGGGTAAGGTCGGCGCACACCCCATCCTCCCCAGACCCAACTTGTAAGATTACATTGGGTATGTTGTTGTTGTTATATTACCAATAATTGTGCCCTCAAAAGAGATAATCTTGTATAATGATATACCAGACCCATATGAACATAATGTGGAGATATAGTCAAATAACAACTACGCCCCAATCCCAAGCGTAAATTGAGGTTGGCCATACGGATCCTCATAATCACTATTGGTGTCAAACTATCTTAGTCAGAATATGATATAAAATAAAAATAATTTAACTTACTACAGTACTTACTAGAAGTTCTCTATAAAAATGTGAATAATGAGATATGGGCACCAACAGTTTGTAAGCATAAAAAGAAAAAATTAAGAAAAAAAAAAGATAAAATAGGAGGTACTCCATAAATTTCACAGGTATGGTAGGTCACCTGTGTAGCAGGAAATACTGTACTAAAAGTAAGGTCACCTTACCATAGAAAATGGACCCCAAAAATATAAAAAAGTCGGTACCTTTTGTACTGTTACCCTATGATAAAACTCAATAGGAAAGAAAAAAAGAAGTACAAGTAAAACAATCTCTTGAATGAGACTATTCAGAGAGGCACGGGAGGTAGGAGGAAAGACGTAATGACATGCATTGATTGGCACTTTTCATACATTTAAAAATCAACGACTTCTATTTCTATAGAAAATTGGCCATGAAAGTGAAAACAGATTAAATGAGGAAACATTTATTACCTCTCATGAATCCACTGCACTCCATGCCATAGCCTGCAACATCGTTTACCAATTATTAGATCAATTTTCATTCCAAAAAAAAACTCAACCGGAGCACTAAGCACACTCTATGTGTGGGGTTGGGGGAAGGCCGGACCACAGCGGCCTTACTCTGCATTTCTACAAGAGGTTATTTCCACGGCTCGAACTGATGACGTCCTCGTCACGTAAAGCCAACAAGAAAAACAAAAGAAAAAAGTGAAAAGATGGTGAAAGAGAAACGGACCATGGCAAAGGAAAACAAGGGCCTTTGGAGAAGAAAAGGGCAACCATCTACAAGTAAAAAGCTGAACACCTCTTGAATTCCTTATATATTCCTAATGCCAATGATGCAAAGCCATAATCTTTGTTAGAGGTGGCAATATATTTGATTAAGAAAAACCCCATATACAAAAGTTAAGAAAAAAATATGCATGCTATTGAGAAAAACCCACCTCATGATATTCAACACCCATCGTATATTTTCAAGAAAAAAGACCAAACCCCAACTCAGAAAATGTGACTCAGCATTCAAGTGACATCATTTGGTAAGTGACAGATCTGTGTAATATGGTGCAGTTTATGTAGTTGTAGATGCAGAGGAAGAAAGGGAAAGGGAACAAACAGAGAAGAAGGAGGGAACAAAGCGATTCTTGATATGATAAAAAATGGAGTATAATACTAAGATATTATAATCAAAAGCAAGAGGGTATAAAGCGGACCTGAGAAGTTGGAATATATACATAGAAAGATGGGATGAGGTGAGTAAAATGATTAAAGTTTTGATTTTTTTTATACTAGTATTTGGTTTGGTTGACAAACGGAAGCTTCCAAATTTGTGAGGTAACGTGGCTGACTGGCTAAGCCCATCCCTTTGCTCATTTCCAGAATTTCAGTTTTGGATCACCACTGAAATGTTGGGAAATAAAATACTAAATACATGTAAATAAAAAAATCTAAATTGCACTTGGAGTTTGGACCCAATCAATTAATAGAACACATATGTATTGATATAAAGTTTTATCATATAATCACATATTCACGTGTATTCTTACTTAATTTGTAACTCTTATTAGTGTAAACTGTTTGTTTTTGTACAAACACAGAAACACTTAGTAAGCATATGTATTTTTCTAAGTATAGTGTAGATAGTATTATTTTTTTGTTTAACAATTTGATATTCATCATTTAGTGATCCGACTAATCTGAATTTGCGGACGATAGGCTTATAAGGTGGTAAGACGCTCTTACCCAAACACGGAGGCGGACCCAAGATTTTTACGTGATGGTGGCATAATATTCTGCTCAACAATTGCCTCCTAAAGGCTTTTAGTGTTCAGCGGTGTCAAGTGCTTTAAATTAACCATTTTCAAGGTGTGTATATATATATATATATATAGACGATTTCTATCGAAGCTTATCGGATCCTGTGACCCCTCACTATAACACATAGGTCCGCCTCTGCTCAAACGTACTCCAGTTCCCACAACTTAAACCTAAACTCATTAGTTAAGGAGAGAGATATCTCAACCATCCAACCATAAGGCAGCTATTTATGGACATGCTTCACTGTTCTTTCGTTATGTAACACTATTTTTTTTTTGGCATGTCCCACAAAAAAATATCACATTTTTATATGTATAAATAATTTAAGTTAAAAATTCTCATTATGCCCTTAACGAAATAATTGTAGCTGCAGGAATATTTAAGAATTGTTTTTGACTATAAGGTTCAAAAGACTATTAAATTCCGTACCAAGTCAAATGGCACAGTATAAATTATAAGATGGTGTAAATATTAGAGAGACTTTCTTGGCTTCCTCAAGCGAGGAGTTCATACTTGGAGAAAGGCCACTATTATGGTGTAGGAGTTTAGGCCATGACCCTAATCTATGTATATCAAAATTAAAAAAGTGAAGATATAATAAAGGGAGACATAATACCTAACCTTTCCAGAAATAACTTGTAATTTGGCCATGTTCAACTTTAGGCGGTGTGCAGCTTACAAAAATTACATTGTATCCAAGCAGTACCTTTGTAGTTAGAAACATATAAATTAAATAAATCCACGGGTATCATGCGAAAAAAAATATGCAATGAAATTAACCCAAAAATTGTAATGACACTTCAAATTTTTTATTTTTATTTTTGTAAGTAATTATTTTTAATACTTTATGAATGTATAGGATACATATTTCTTTCGTTCTTTTTTGGGTTCTTTATTTTTGGCTAGAGTTCATGGAAATAATAGGGGGTCCTCTTAGATTGACATTGAAAATGAAAATGAGGTGACGGCTTTAAATTGGGGAAGTTTACACCCATTCCTATCACAAATATATAGTAGTTCTGATCTCAAGATTGTTGCGAATCCGTCCATGTTCCTCCAATTTCTCTTCCCATCTTTATCGCGAATCCCAACGTTTACTTTTTTAATTTTTATCTATTCATTGCCCATTCTTTTGCTTATCCCATTTAATATGCCACATCAACTAATTTAGCCGTTCTCTCCCTCTCTTCCACGTAGGGATGGCAATGGGCGGGCGCTGGGCGAATTTGGCAAACTCACAAAAATTTCAACCTGTCCCGTCCCGCCCCCATAGCTATTTTTTTAGTTTTCAACCCACCCCGCTTGGATCCTCCGCCCTGCCTCACTTAATTTTTTTTTGGAATTTTAACCTCCTATAGCAAAGGTTAACACCTTATTTATTTTAAATAAATATCATTTTAAAAAATTATATTCTATAGATACCTTTTAATGTTTATAGCAAAATATCTAATTTTGGTTACCTCCTACCCCTAAGCCACTAAATACGCTATTCAGTTACACTATTTTCTTTATCTCTCTACTTTGATAGATGCTATTCTCTTCCCCCATTCCTGAAAAATGAAAATAGCAACGAGGACGTTCAAGAAGTTGTGGTGGAAGTGGGGCTTGATGTGGAAACCCTATTGAGTTATCCAAAGTTGTTGTATTCAGAAGCTAAGGTCAATCACAAGGATTCAACAGCGACTTGTTGCTCAATTTGTTTGGCGGATTACAAGAACATTGACATGTTAAGGCTATTGTCAGATTGTGGGCATTTGCTTCACTTAAAATGCGTAGATCCATGACTGGGGTTAAATCCAACTGTCCTGTTTGTAGAACTTCTCTATTGCCAACACCACAATCCACTCCTCTGGCTGAAGTTGTTCAGGGTTTTTGCTCGACGGCGGATTCGCTGGAAATTAGGGTTTGTTCTTGAACAAAGACGACGGAGTTTGGGGCTGAGCAACTTGATTTTCTGTTAATATATTTCAATGTATTTTCAATATATCACGCTGTATTTTCATGTATTTATTGTATTCATTATCTTTTTTTTCATTGTAACTCAATGTATCTCGTTGTATTCCATATATTTCATTGTATTCACTCTCTTTTTTTCATTATATTTCAAAGTATCCCGTTGTATTCTATGTATTTCATTGTATTCACTATCTCGCTATATGCCATGAATGTATTCATATGTTTTTTTTAATTAATATAATTTATGTATTCAGATGTATTATATAATTTCTCTGAAGATTGCCATGTTTTTGGGGTATTTTTCGGTTGAGAATCTTTTTTATAACTGGAAATACAAAATTTGTGTGTTATAATTGAGTTTGTTGAGTTATATTAGGAGTCTATTATGTTAATTGATTCACTTTCCGTTTAAAAACAGTATAATCCCCTGTTTCACGCCGTGAATACAGTCGAATACAACAACTGATTAGCTGGACTTCCCTGATTCACGCCTATTTTTGCTACTGTATTCATGAATATAATACCTTAAATACATCTAATACATTTTATAACAACAGAAAACGTATCTACAATCCGTAACATAGCAAATGACATCTATAGATAGCTAATTACCACTAAAAGATAGTGCTTTATGAAAATTTCTCCTTTTTTTTTTCTCTAATTTTTTCCTAAAACAAACTAGTTTGACATTTTATTATTTTATAAAATGGAGAATTTAATAGAATCACATAAACATAAAACTGAGAGAGTACTACGCTGATCTTCCAAAATAAATGGGTTACTATCGTTTTCAATTACTAATACGATATCTTGACTTATGTAATATCATTTTGGTGAGGCTTACGCAAATTAATTAATTATAAATCAAATTGATTAATGCGGGTTCAATTCAAATTGGTTAATATCAATGCTATATATTGTTCTGTTTCGATTTTCTATTTCGTTACTATTTTCTCCCTTCAATGACTTAAGAATATCTGAAAAGTTTGAAAAGATAACACAATCGGAGAAAAATTGTCATTCTTCAAAAAAAAATATCCATATCAAGACTAATAATAGAAGACGATACGAAACTAAAATTTACAGAACTAACTGGATATATGTATAACCCCAAAACCAAATGATCAAACTTGTTAAAGTTATATGAAGTAATGTTATTACAATATAGTACACAATGTTAAACATTTTAGAATATTCCAGCATGGAAAAAGTATAAATTAAGACAACAACAATAAAAATTTAAAACATAAGATTCAGTCATAACAAGTGGTAATTAATTAGCGAACTTAGCATGCATTAAAAACTATGATTATTAAATCATTGTTTGTGATCATCATTTAAGATTTCTCAAGTAGCATATTGGATCACTGGATGGATATCAAGTACGTATAAAATATGGATTTTGATTATGTAAGTTTATTTTAACCAAAATAACATTGGGTGGATATCAAGTACGTCAAGTTCCCCGCATTAAACCCGTAACCCGCCCCGCCCCGCCTTAAAAAATTTAAAAATTATTTTAACCCGCCCCGCACCGCCCGCACCCGCATAAGAGTAAACCTGCCTGCCCTGCATCAAACAAAACCCGCCCTGCCCCATTGTCATCCCTATTCTATCGCCCACCCAGTGACAAAATCAGGAATTTAATCAAGGGTGTTCAAACTTGAAAGAAGTGAAAAAAATTCTCCGAGAAAGAGTGTTCAATATATATTGTATACCTCTAAAATCTAATATTTTACCTATATACGCAGTGTAATTTTCCGACGAAGGGTGGTCAGTTTATAACATGTAGCTTCGTCCATGCGCCCACCCGTTGGAAAACAACACGTCGTGAAGAAAATATTTATTCACATTTATTCATAGAGTTCAATATATTGATGCTATAATTAATACTTCATTCGGTACACTTTAATTGATCTTTTTGGTTATTTTTCAAACATATCAAAAAGAATCCATCTTTTAGCATTAATTAAAAATAAAATTGACTACGTTAACCTTAATTTGTTCATGAGAAATATAACAAAGACTCATTTACTCCAAGGGTAACTTTGAAAAAGAAGTTAATTCTTTCTTGATATCTAAAAAACAAATATTGTGAACCATAAAAAAAGGCCAAAAAATTAACTAAAGTAAACTGGAGGGAGTAATTAAGTTACAAATGTATATATTCAGCTATAGTTTAGTGATAAATAAGTATATAAAAAAATAGATCCTACGTATATTACATTGGTATAGAATCAAGTGCAAATATATTTATGTGTAAAAGACAGGTCTCTTACCTGTAAAAATAAATCTTTTATATATAAAAAAGGAAGAATCATAAAACTAAAAATAAGTTTATAAAGAGCCACAAAATCATTTGACTCCGAAAGAATGAGAATTTGTAGCATGAAACAAGATTTAACTTTCAGTACAAATTATATAGTAAATTGCTTAAAGTATTTACATTTTTATAGATTAACTAGTTTTAGGGTATGCGCTTTGTG